CAGCAGGGGGCAGTATTGGACCAATATAAGGCTCCATTGACTCCCATTATAAAATATTAAACATTAAGATTTCAAAAACTATAAGTTGTACAGGCACCAAAAGRCATRGCCATCATTTGGCACAGGAGCTTTACAGATATAAATTACAATGGCAGCTCTAGGACAAAGTATGTAAGAGGAGAAGCATGGCAAAGTGGAGATGACTTGGATGGGAAACGAATCACAATAGTGTGCATTGCATTGGCAATGCACACTGATTATGTTCTTCATGGCAGCTCATCTCTTTAAGGGGTCACAAGAAAAACTCGGGTGATTTACTTCGATCCTGTTTTCAAAAAAATTGTCTCTTCAAAACGCATCGACAAAAACTAAAAACTCGAAGACGAGGCTGTAGCTAACTACCTGATGTCAGCACGCTTTGTTGAAATTCCTAACGAAGCAGGAGGAAATAACAAGCAAACACTCAGAGCAGCCTTGAACAATCTGGTCACAGCAGTTTGGGAAGAAAATGGCAGCAGCTGCTGACAAAATGTCAGCATCCTTACAATATAAAACACAGAATCTCACTGAATTTGCTCATTTGGGGGTTTTGATGTATTTTGGACGCAGCTGCTTCCTGCACCTGCCATTACCTGGTTTATTTATTTTATTACTTATTCACTTTCAAGACAACATTTTTATCTTTGTTTAATTTGAGTTGAAAAAAATGCCTGAGAAATGTTCTAGGGGGTCAAATGAATAATTTTCATTAATAATCATCAGTTCCATTCAATTCAATTCAAAAATACTTTATTGATCCCAGAGGGAAATTAGGTAATAATAATAATTAGGTTAGTTGTTCTACATTATAGTTTCAGAGAATCATCATTACATTTGACAGAGGGGGTACTAGTGGTATGGAAAAATGTCTCAGGGGTACACAAGTCTAAAAAGTTTGGGAACCACTTCTCTAAGAGGCAAAGGATGCCTCTCAGCCACAGACCCACCACGCTTCAGTTCTTCCAAGACCAAGGCAGGAAACAAAGGTCAAGATGAACATTAAACCACWGTTAATCTTTGTCTAGAAGCTTTTACAGCTAATCTCAGAGCTGAACACAGTCTGACTGCTGCCATAGAGATTATGAGTCTTGGAGACTATATTTATATATATAATTGAAACAGCTAGACTAGTGCATCCTAAATTTAACATAAATTAAACACTATTTTAATACGACATAGTCATTTTGGCCTTTAGAAAAATGTTTTTTTGGGGAGGTCATAAATGTAATTTTAGAAACTCTAACTGCTTGTTTTAAATCAATACTTTTATGTTTAATACTAAAGTACAAAAACATCACATACTTTAAGACTTTTACTCAAGTAATGTTCTTAAAAGAGACTTTAACTTTTACCAAAGTAATTTTATGGTAAGATACTTGTACTACTTAAGTATCACCTTGTGGTACTTTATATAACAATGTGTATTAGTCTCAGGGTGTGCACACTTAAGCAATCAGCTCTTTGCATCTTTTGTTTTTTATATTTTCCCCACAGCAGATATTTTTTTCTATTGATTTATAAAGAATAAATATCACAGCAAAGACTTTGGTTCTAAATACAAAAGAAAAGATTCATTTCTTTTTTTCTTCACAAAAACTTGGTATTTTAACAGGAGCGTGTAGATTTTTATCCACATTAAGCTGAAAGCTAACCTTCAGCTCGTGTCATATTAAATCTTTGATTCGTTGAATTTTTCCAGAGAACCATGACGAAGAAGCTGGTGATCATCGACACAGACT